CACTCTCCATAACCACCAATGGGCGTCCACGCCGCCGCAGAAACAACCGCTGCAGCCGAGGCTTCGAGCCCAATGAGGATGGCACAGCTTGTGTGGGTGAGTGATGGCTGGGGCGCCCTGACCCCATGCCACCACAGCCTGGCTAAGCCAGTGGGCAGCAGCCCCAGAGCACCACCTTGGGATGCTGTTGCACCCCTGCCAAAGGCCTGGCCCCATCCTGTAACCTGCCAGGTGGCTGCCCAGCCACCTGCACCCCAGCTCTATATCTCTTCATCCTGTGCCTCCTGCTGAGCTGCCACTGACTCCCCTTCTCTCTTTCTTTCTCTTTTTCTCTCTTGCTCCTTCTCTCCTTCTCTGTGCAGCTCAAGTGGCCTTTTTTGGGGGATACCCCTCTGCCGGGAGCTGGCCTGGGCCCCCCCACCGCGCCCTCCTCCCTTTAGTTCTCGGACTCTGCCTTTGCCTCTATGCACTTTAATCCCTGCCTGTAACACGCCAGAGCAGCCTTGGCGGAAGGACTGGCCGGCCTCTGCCTGTCTCTCTCTTTCTCTCTCTCTTTCTCTCCATGTTGAACCACCCTGGAAGTGCTGGCTGTGCCCTATCGGGGTGGCCTGCAGTGGGACAGGCACGGAGCCTGGCTGCCCCTTGAACTGTGTCTGGGAAAGCAGCCCCAGGGCAGCGCCCCTTCACCGGCACCTCCCCGCCCCAGTGCTGCTCCTCCATGCTGGCGCCTCCCGGGCAGTCGCTTGCTCCGTCGACTCGATACCGTTCCATGTGCCTGCTGGTTTGGCCTGCGACGTGTGTACCCTGGAAGTGCTGGCTGTGCCCTATCGGGGTGGCCTGCAGTGGGACAGGCACGGAGCCTGGCTGCCCCTTGAACTGTGTCTGGGAAAGCAGCCCCAGGGCAGCGCCCCTTCACCGGCACCTCCCCGCCCCAGTGCTGCTCCTGCCATGCTGGCGCCTCCCGGGCAGTCGCTTGCTCCGTCGCCTCGATACCGTACCATGTGCCTGCTGGTTTGGCCTGCGACGTGTGTGCTTTGCCTGCCCCCTCTTTGGTGGTGGGGACCGCCCTCCCCAGCCCTGGCAGAGGAGGGTCCCCCCAGCCCTGTGGGGGAAGGACCCTCCTGGTCTGTTTTTTAATGTATTGACCCCACTGTTTGGAGTCGGACCCTGCTCAGTCTTCCAGCCCCTCTCCCGGAGAATCCCTTCCAATAAACTATATGCTGTCTATTAGCCCCGCCTGCTGAGCTGTGCGGGGCAGGGCTGTGCCCATGCTTCTGCCCACCCTGCCCTGGGGCTGCATGGGGAGGGTGCTTGGGAGTGTGGATCACCCCCAGCTCTCCCTGCCCTGGGGTCAGGAGCTGGCTGGAGGGTGCACGGTGGCCCTGGGCGCGCCTGCCCATCCCCGCTCCCAGCCCTGGGAGCGCATCCAGATGTGCAGAATTGGAGGGGATGGGGTGCAGCAGGCAGCGCTGCCCACACAGCAACAACAGGGCTGTGTTGCCTTCCTGCCGTGTGCTGTAACCCTGTGCCACTCTCTTCCCCACCACCAGACATCGACGAGTGTGCCCAGGGCTTGCACAACTGCAGCCAGCTCTGCACCAATACCCCTGGGGCACACGCCTGCCACTGCCGCCTGGGCTTCCGCCCCCTTGATCCCGCTGCCAGCCAGTGCCTGGGTGAGTACCTGCAGGCAGCGGGGCTGGCAGCCCACAGTGCCCACCCACCTGCTGCTGCCAGGCGCAGCCACGCTGCCCTGGGAGCCAGGACACTGTTTCCTGGGGTGCCCTGTTGTGCTCACAGCCCTGGTCCCAGCCAACCCAAAACACGGGGGGCAGGATGGACAGACTGTGGCTGTGCAGGAGTTGATGGAGTGAGGAGGCATCTGCTACCTGACAGCCTTGGGGACAAGCGGTGGCAGGACCACAGCTGCATGGCTGCAGGCATTGGAGATGCCTTTGTGTCCCAGCTTCACCCAGACCCAGAGCTGCTCCCCCCCATACCCCCTCCATCCCCTGCCCTGCCAGATGAGCCCCGTACCCTTGGCGCAGCTCTGACCCTTTCCCCTTCTTTTCCAGATGTAGATGAGTGCCAGGCACAGCCTGGCCCCTGCGACCATATCTGCCACAACAGCCACGGCTCCTTCCACTGCCATTGCCAACAC